TACAGAGGGAAGAGTTAATTTTTAATATTCAATTTAATTTAATTATGAACTTACACATATATATTATTACTAGCTGTACCATCGACTTCGTCCGCGTGTAATTTAACTTTATTTTTAATAAAAGTAGCCTAAGTTACTCCTTATTACATCAGCTACCAGCTAAAAAAATCCCGTCAAAATCGGTCCAGCCATTTCAGAGATTAGCCGGAAAAAACAGACAGACAAACATTGTAAAAAATGTTATTTTGGTGTAACTTATTATATTCATATTCATGTAGTAAACAAAGGTTATTTCAATACATATTACAAACAGACACTCCAATTTTATTTATATATATATTATTATATGCTATGATTGTAATTCAGTCGAATTATTTTAAAATTATATACAGCCCATTACTCATTGTTTCTGACATAACTTTGTGTATAACAATAGATATATAAATAATAAAAATGAATTATTTTAGATCAGATATATAATTAATATAGGTACGTGAACTGTCATCGTTACACTACAAAGAAATCAATGACAATTATATTAAAAACAGACAATTAAAAAGTTATGTCATAGACACTCATTGACAATTATGTTTCTGTCCTTTTTTAAATAATTAGGAGATTTTAAAATTAAAAAACAATTGAGTCTTTCTTTAAAATTACATACATCTATTACCATATTGAAATTCATTTTTGAATTGTTGTATACTTTTCTTTATAATATTAGTTAATTAGTATATTTATAGTTATAGGGTACATATAATACTCTAGTTATTTAACTATCCACTCCGTTTTTGTACATTGATCATTATATATATATTACTTACTAATATTACAAAGTAAGAGATGTTTTTATTATAAGGCAAGTAAACTCCGGAATCTCTACGTCGATATAAGATTTTTATTTCATTGTTTGAAACACACCTTATTCCAGAGTGTATATAATTTTAACGTTAAAATAACCAAAATTCACAATCCACTAGTCTATTTATAAAAGCACGTCTGGGTTTTGCATATGGTCTCAGTTTAATGTACAAAATCTATTCTCCTGGTAAAATATGTTATATATAGTAAACTCTGGATAGTACTCGTAATAATGATGTTTGACAACAAGTGTCCCATTCATATAGGACATTTTTTATGTCAAACTAAAACAACAGAACAAAGGAAAAAGAAGACTTCAAAACAATAACACAAGATTATTCTTTGATATTAAAATAAATATTTTTTTAAAACTACATAACAAGTTATTTAGAGCACTGTGTACCACGAGCCTTATAAAAGAGGCGGCAAAACCGTTAATTTGACGTTCGAATCCTAATTCAAAAGTCATTTGACACCGGCGCGGTGTCGTTGTTTTTTTTTCTAATCATCTACGCATGGATACCATTATTTGAGCCACCCCTCGCACGCGTGCCGCGTAATTACCGAATGATTTATATTTTGTCACTTACAAGTATTTATAATCTGTGGGGGCTATTAACGTTATCTTATTAATAAATGTGAAATATATTTTATCTATATTAATAAAAATAATTCAGCAAATGTATGCTAGAGCATTACTTTTATAGAAAATCTTTTTCTTATTAAAAAAGGCAACATGCAAGTATCTTGTTCCTTCCTTTTGTAAATAATCGGTAACATTAAAAAAAAAGTCATTATTATTGTTAGATATGTAGACTAGGCTGTACGGTCTAAGGATCTTTGCCTGTTCCATATATTTAATATATAAAAAAAAGAAACTAGGGGTTATATTTATATTCTTTTTGTTATATATTAAAGTAGTATATTGACATAAAAGTAAATTGCAGACATATAAAGTTATGTAGAACAGTCTAAAATAATTAGGAAACAGGAGTACAACAGTTTATCAGTATGTCTGCAGAAGACGCCATTTTGTAGTCTTTTATTTTTCCCGCGCAAACGTAATGCACCACAGATGCAGAATATTGCATGGCGCGCAGCCGCAGTAGGATGACGAGCGCGTACAGCTACGCTGTATGTGCGATGTTAAAATATGAGTATTATAACAATCATTAAAAATATAAAGTACTTCAATGTAAGTTTATTTGAGGTTATTTTCTATTCAATTGCATAAGTATCGTTTAGAAAAAGTCAATAGGTTTTTTACGGGAATAATTATAAAAATTTACAATAAGATACCAAAGGATATATTGGAATTTTACCTTTAAATAAATTCAAAACATCTGTTACATCATATTTACTGAGCAAAGCCTATTTATTATTTATTACTCACTAAGGGCAGAGGAAGGCCAAAAAAGAGAAACGATTACCTGAATGATTACTCACTAAACGATTACCTGAATGACGAGCGTGCATGGCAATAGTTGTTCATGCACGGGATTTTAATGTTAGACATAGACACCTATATAAATACCTATACATTGTAAATAATCTGGCTTTTAAAAAAAATGTATTTCACTCTCAACCCTTTTTATTTGTATCATTAGTCTAAAAAGTAAGTTTCAAACTTCTAGTTTTAAAACTTGCTTCTTACTATACTTCCCTTCAACCTCTCAACTCCCCTTTTAACCCTTCCAACCAAATTGTCTTGATTTATATTTAATAGTCAATAATATGAGATGTTAGCTCCTACTTTAAAAAATGATGATACTTCTATATAACCTTTCATCCTCTCTTTCAACCCCTTACAACCCTTTTTCGCATTAAAAAGTAACCTATGGCTTTTCTCAAGATGATTCCCAAAGTGGTCTATATCGACCCCCAGGGGTCTATGACAAACTGCAAGGGGTCTACGACAGTGGTAATCTTATTGTTTTAACTTTATGTTTTTAACACTAAACTTTACTACAATTAGAAATTTACAAAAAATCAATACCAGGTAAGAATGGGGGGTCTACCCAAAACCGAAAAAGATGGCAAGAGGTCTACGACACAAAAAAGTTTGGGAACCTCTGGTCTAGACTATCTGTGAACCAAATTCCATTTGAATAGGTTCAGTAGTTTTGGCATGTAATTGAGACAGTCAGAGTTACTTTCATATTCATAATATTAGTAAGGTATTTAATAAACTAACCCAATAATATAATTCAATTTTGTTAAATCTGGTTGTATATTCGAAATTGCAAACTGTCCCTCTACTTGCGTAAACCATATCTCTGGCTCTTTTAAATAGAAGGGAATGCGTATTCCGACTCTGAATAGCTTGGATGAAACGGTAGGTGTTGTTTCTTCCAAGGAATCATGGAAAATGTTGTTCATATACATCGACGAAATTGCTAATATTATATGTAGTTTCATTCTTGAAAAATATTAATAATATATTCTTACGTTCTTGTCCAAGAGTGAGGTCACCAGTTATAGGCTGTACCAGGATTATATTTATGTATTTATTAAATGAAATTGCAGAGCAAACGTTTATATATTTAAATTTTTAAGGAGACAACAGATTGACAATAAATAGTTGCGCGCGCAACTTCGCATGCGCACTGCCTGTACAAATGATATATACAACGCATTTATATGATTCAACCGCATAAGATAACTTTGCATCTGTCTTGTCTTCATATTTATGGAGTCAAGATTGGACAATAAGTAGCAAAATTAAAGGGAAACAGTACTGTTTAGTCCAACCGTTTATACCTCTTAAACCGTGGTTTTTCAATTTACATCTTGATAAAAGATCAACTAGTGTTTTGATTCGTATGCGAATTGGTCATGTTTGCAGCCCTGAACATTTAACAAAACTACGTATAAAAGACAATAATATCTGTGAATGTGGAGATGTGGGTGATCTAAATCATATTGTGTTTTCCTGCTCCTCTTACGATCGTTCTTCATTTATAGAGACACTCACCTCATTAGAAATTCCTTTTCCTTCATCCATTGTATGCCTATTAGCTCATCCTAAGTCCTATAATTTATAAATCTCTTGCGTCTTTATATTTCCCATAATAACATTAAACTTTAAAACCCATGATCACTAATTCCGAGTATATTCAAAATTTAACCCGTTCCTTTCCATTATCCCGTCTCGTTTCCTGTTTTTAGTGGCATAATAGGCAACACTAGCCTCTTTCCAAAGAACAAAATAAAAAAAAACTTTGCATCTCCACTTTCAACCCCTTACAACCCTTATTTCGCATTAAAAAGTAGCCTATGTCCTTCCTCGGAGACTATCTGCCCAATTTTATTTTATCAAATTTCATTTAAATTGTGAGAGTAGTTTTAGCATGAAAGCAAGGTAGACAGACAGACATATAGTTACTTTTTCATTTATTAGTAAGAATAAAGATTACTGTAAAGTTTAACTAAAATCCGTTATCCATTCATACTCACAAACTTTCGCATTTTAAATACTCACTGTCGGGAAAAGGGAAATGATAGTAATGTGGAGTGATGACCCCATTGCTGGCAATGTGCCATGTCATGTTCCCCCTGGAAACCATCGTGATAAATTCCTGGAGATAACACGATGAACTAACTGACCTGACCTATCAGATTCCACTGTACCCCGCCAGGGTAAACCATTAGCGCAGACGGATGATAAGAAATTTATTTTTGCCACCGCACCGCTTGCTATCGACAGGGAATTCATCCCCACACGCTAGAACCTAAGTTGTCTCGGACAGTGCGGTTCCAGAGAGCTTCCTTCCGTGTACACTTACATTGTGGAATGAACTACCTGCCGAGATTTTCTCTAGTGACTACAGCATGGGGTTTTTCGAGAAGGGTATATCCTAAAGGTCGGCAAAGGGCACATGACTCCCCTGGTGTTTCAGGCGTCCTGAGGCTACGGTAACCGTTTACCATCAGATCAGCCATATGCTTAATTACCATCATGGTTATATAAAAGAAAAATCAACGAATACTGTATTGCAATGATAAAACCTTTATTATATAATTCATTTAAAAACATAAAGTTAACAAATCATCCAGAATGAAAAAAATAAAACCAGACATTTTAAATTAACATGAAAATCATTTTCCCCCTCAGTCTAATTAAATTCTTTAATCGCGATTTAATTTGAAGACGAACTAGAGCTGCTAGAGTTTGAGCTACTCGAGCTACTGCTGTTTGAATTATTGCTACTGTTCGAACTGCTGTTTGAGCTGCTGCTGCTGTTGGAACTGCTGCTGGATCTGCTGCCGTTTGAGCTACCGCTGCTGGTAGAGCTACTGCTGCTGTTTGAGCTGCTGCTGCTGTTTGAACCGTTGCTGCTGCTATTGCTTGATTGACTACTGCTTGCACTGCTACTATTTGAGCCACTACTGCTGTTGCTTGATTGACTACTATTTGAGCTGCTGCTGTTTGAGCCACTACTACTGTTGCTTGATTGACTACTGTTTGAGCTGCTGCTGTTTGAACCGTTGCTGCTGCTATTGCTTGATTGACTACTGCTTGAGCTGTTACTATTTGAGCCACTACTGCTGTTACTTGATTGACTACTGTTTGAGCTGCTGCTGTTTGATCCACTGCTACTGTTGGCGCTGCTGTTGCTAGATTCATTGCTGCTTGAGTTGCTGCTGCTGTTTGATCCACTGCTACTGTTGGCGCTGCTGTTGCTAGATTCATTGCTGCTTGAGTTGCTGCTGCTGTTTGATCCACTGCTACTGTTGGCGCTGCTGTTGCTAGATTCATTGCTGCTTGAGTTGCTGCTGCTGTTTGATCCACTGCTACTGTTGGCGCTGCTGTTGCTAGATTCATTGCTGCTTGAGTTGCTGCTGCTATTTGATCCGCTGTTACTGTTGGCGCTGCTGTTGCTAGATTCATTGCTGCTTGAGTTGCTGCTGCTGTTTGATCCACTGCTACTGTTGGCGCTGCTGTTGCTAGATTCATTGCTGCTTGAGTTGCTGCTGCTGTTTGATCCACTGCTACTGTTGGCGCTGCTGTTGCTAGATTCATTGCTGCTTGAGTTGCTGCTGCTATTTGATCCGCTGTTACTGTTGGCGCTGCTGTTGCTAGATTCATTGCTGCTTGAGTTGCTGCTGCTGTTTGATCCACTGCTACTGTTGGCGCTGCTGTTGCTAGATTCATTGCTGCTTGAGTTGCTGCTGCTGTTTGATCCACTGCTACTGTTGGCGCTGCTGTTCGTTTCGTTGTTATTTGAGCTACTGTCGCTGGAGCTGTTGCTGTTGCTGTTGCTATTGCTGGAGGTGTTAGAGCTACTATTACCAGAGCTGCTGTTGCTACTACTATTGGAATTGCTGTTGCTGGAACTTGAGCTACTGCTACCGCCGCCAGGTCTAATAGGAGGTCCAATTATAATTGGACCGGGTCTGGGTCTGATCGGGCCAATTGGCCTAGGTCTAGGTCTAGGTCTTCCAGATCCTAAAAATAGAAGTCATACAATTAAAAAAAGTATAGTCTATCATATCATTTAATGTTTAAAGAATATCCTGTTCAGACCAAGCATTTTTTTTAATGTAAACCGGTAAACAGGGTTGTAAGACGGTCTGAACGGGTTTTGCTATAAGAAAAAATCTGCAAAAGAAATATTTAAATGATGAAGCTTCACTAAACTCCTACAAATATTGCAAATAAGTTCCTAACTATAGTAGGTACATCACACAAAATACAGACAAAATTCTTAAAAATGTAATTCGGAACAACATTTATTTAAAAGAGCAACACGCAAGTTTTTCGCTCGTTTCTTGAGTTGAGTCAAATAATCATAGTTATTAAAAAAATATTTGTGTCAATTACCACCAACGTGGTATAAAAAAATGAATCATAGCAGTAATTAATTATTATGTATTGGAATTATCATAAGGAGATTACGGAAGTTTTAGTTCTAAATGGTTTTCATTTTGTGCTACCATACTGTAATTATCACAAGAAGATTGAAGAGTACTAGAGTTTTATAGTATTAGTCAGTATTATTTTATTTACCTGAGCTACTACTTGAGCTACTGTCACTGGAGCTACTACTGTCACTTGAGCTACTGCTGTCTGAGTTCTCAGAGCTGCTGTTACTAAAAAAAGTATGCTGTTATCATTTAATGTTTATAGAATATCCCGCCACCAACTTTTTTAATGTAAACCGGTAAACAGGGTTGTAAGACGGTCTGAACTGGTTTTGCTATGAAGAAAAAATCTGCAACAACAAATATTTAAATGATGAAGTCTGGGGCGTCTTCCAGGTCCTGGAAATAATTGCAAATAATATATAACTATAGCTATAGGTACATCACACAAAATAATGTGAAAATTCTTAAAAATGTAATTGCTTGACTGTATACATTTATATAATATATAAAAACGCAAGTTTTTCGAACTCGTTTCTTGTGTTGAATCAAGATAATCATAGTTATTAAAAAAAACTGTGTCAATACACCACCACACTGTGGTATAAAAAAATGAATCAATAGCAGTAATTAATTATTATGTATTGGAATTATCATTAAGAGGTTACGGAAGTTTTAGTTCTAAATGGTTTTCATTTTGTGCTACCATACTGTAATTATCACAGAAGATTAAATAATATGGCAAAACATTTACTGGGTCAGAAATTTCGTGACAATCACTTACCTGAGTTGCTACTTGAGCTACTCTCGCTGGAACTGCTGCTTTCACTTGAGCTGCTGCTGTCTGAGTTCTCAGAGCTGCTGTTACTGCTGGAGCTGCTGTTTGAGTTGCTGCTGCTGGAGCTGGAGCTTCCATTGCCACCTGGTCGGGGACGGCCTGGGATTATAACTGGACCGGGTCCTAATGGGATTCTTGGTCTAGGACGTCTTCCTGGACCTATAAATATATAAAATTATCAATTTAATTGTTATGTACGAGCAGTCATCATATACATTTTGGAAGCATCAACATTTTTTCACATTTTCATAGATTATTTTACGAAAATCGGTTCGAAATCGGTACGCCACGCGTACACATTCATCACTTATCTAATGGCCTAAAGGAAACCTACCTGAGTTACTACTTGAACTACTGTCACTAGAACTGCTACTGTCACTTGAGCTACTGCTCTCTGAGTTATCAGAGCTGCTGTTGCTGTTGGAGCTGCTATTTGAGTTGCTGCTACTAGAGCTGGAACTTTCGCTACCACCGGCAGGTCTTATAGGCTGTACGGGGCCAATTATAATTGGGCCTGGGCCAGGTTTGACAGGACGGCCGGGTCCTACTACAATTGGACCGGGTTCAGGCCTTATAATAGGACCTCCTGGATTTACACATGGGCCAGGTTTGGGGCCAGGTCCGGGACGAGGTCTGGGACGTCTTCCAGGTCCTGAAATAAATAAAAGGATTCATATTCGAAAATTGTACGGCTTTTTCTAGAAATGATAAATGTTTTTTCTGTCTTAGCTGCTAAATATTGATTGTATTATAGATTAGATATAGATACACATTCGTATTTAAAACAAACAACTGCTATTAGATTTTAGATGAAGAGTTTGTCGTACTCGGAGATATTGAAGAATATAAACAAATCATCAATTTGTTTAATTGAAGTAAATATTAATAATATTGATACAATTGATATGCTAATTCTACCAGGAGAGGATGATATATTTAAGCGAAGAGAACAATCTAGTATAAAAGCTCCTGAAAAATTTGACAAATATGTTTGACACTTTGTAGAAAATGTCTATCATCGTGAAGAAGAACTTCAATGAAAAAAATTCATGTATGTAAGCGATGCTTGCTACTTTCCATCTATTAGATAGTTTGCTTGTCATTACAATTTCATAGAACACACTTACCTGAGTTGCTACTTGAGCTACTCTCGCTGGAACTGCTGCTGTTACTTGAGCTGCTGCTGTCTGAGTTCTCAGAGCTGCTGTTACTGCTGGAGCTGCTGTTTGAGTTGCTGCTGCTGGAACTGGAACTTCCATTGCCACCAGGTCTGGGACGGCCTGGGATTATAACTGGACCGGGTCCCAATGGGATTCTTGGTTTGGGACGCCTTCCAGGACCTATAATTAAAAAAAGTTGTTACATTTTACATTGTAATAGTAACCAGGCATTCGTGTTTCTTCCAGTCCATCTTTTATTGTAAAATTATATTTCGGAGAAGATCCTTCATTAAATAAAATTTAATTAAACGTATGTTAATATTAAATATAAACATGTTATTGCATGCATTAAATGTTACTGCTTATACTACTAGGCGTTACCCGCGACTTTTTCTGCAAAACTATCATCCCCTATTTTAGCCCGTTTTAGAATATTCTTTGAAGATAAAAGTTAGCCATTGTTCGGTTTTGTAGAACATTATTAAGATTTTAGAAAAGGTATTAAACATACAGACATGCAGAAACACACATCTTTCACTTGTAATATCAGTATAGATTAGGAACCCTAAGGAGTTTCATGTCGTACCTGAGTTGCTACTTGAGCTACTCTCGCTGGAGCTGCTGCTGTCACTTGAACTGCTGCTATTCGAGTTGTCAGAGCTGCTGTTACTGCTGGAGCTGCTGTTTGAGTCACTGCTGGAACTGGATGAACTGCCACCACGACCAGGTTTTACAGGACGGCCAGGACCGACAATGACTGGTCCGGGACCTAGTGGAACTATTGGTACAGGGCGTCTTCCTGGTCCTAAAAATAAATCATTTAAATTTATGTCTGCTCAAATACATGTATAGTAAAAAGTCACGAAGTAAAGGTACAAAATGCAGGATCATAATGACTTAGAAAGTCCTACGGTAATGCTTTGCCAGTATGGAGAACTCAGATGTCATATTTCTTATCCTATGATTTCACTTGGTATAATAGAGGATGTATGATCATTTGCAGATGGAATTTAGCAGGAGCTAGAGTCTACGATACATTCATCAATTGTCTACATCAATGTTTCCCAACTTGGGGTCCATACCCCATAGAAGCAAATTGATTGTGCAGCGGAGCAATTCGAAAATGGAGTATCTATTAAAATGATATAGAATGTGAATATCCAAATATAAATCTACTAAAAATTTAAAGTGTAAAGTAATAGTAAAATAACTTACCAGAACTACTGCTGCTACTTGAGCTACTGTCACTTGAGCTATTGCTTTCGCTTGATCTACCCGAGTTACGGCTGCTACTACTAGAGCTGCTGTTAGAGTCGCTGTTACTAGAACTAGATGATCCACGTCTGTTGGAACCACTGCTGCTCCTTGAGCTACTGTCGCTTGAGCTATTACTTTCGCTTGATCTACCCGAGTTACGGCTGCTACTACTAGAGCTGCTGTTAGAGTCGCTGTTACTAGAACTAGACGATCCACGTCTGCTAGAACCACTGCTGCTCCTTGAGCTACTGTCGCTTGAGCTATTACTTTCGCTTGATCTACCCGAGTTACGGCTGCTACTACTAGAGCTGCTGTTAGAATCGCTGTTACTAGAACTAGACGATCCACGTCTGCTAGAATCACTGCTGCTCCTTGAGCTACTGTCGCTTGAGCTATTACTTTCGCTTGATCTACCAGAGTTACGGCTGCTACTACTAGAGCTGCTGTTAGAGTCGCTGTTACTAGAACTAGACGATCCACGCCTGCTAGAACCACTGCTGCTCCTTGAGCTACTGTCGCTTGAGCTATTACTTTCGCTTGATCTACCCGAGTTACGGCTACTACTACTAGAGCTGCTGTTAGAGTCGCTGTTACTAGAACTTGACGATCCACGCCTGCTAGAACCACTGCTGCTACTTGAGCTACTGTCACTTGAGCTATTGCTTTCGCTTGATCTACCCGAGTTACGGCTGCTACTACTAGAGCTGCTGTTAGAGTCGCTGTTACTAGAACTAGACGATCCACGTCTGCTAGAACCACTGCTATTAGAACCACTGCTGCTACTTGAGCGACTGCTGCTTGAGCTGTTCTCACTGCTTCCCGAGCGACTGCTGGAGTTACTACTTGCGTCGCTATTACTAGAGCTCGATGATTCATTCCCTTCGGAACTGCTACTCGAGCCACTGCTGCTACTTGAGCGACTGCTTGAGCTTTCACTGGATCTACCAGAGCTGTTAGAGCTGCTACTCGAGCTACTATTGGAACTGCTGCTAGAAGATGACGAGCCTCCTTTGCCGGGTCCTGGTGCAATAATGATAGGTCCGCCTGGGTTTATGCCTGGGCCTAATGGTCTGTCGCCTCCACAATCATCTGTAAGCACAAGATTCAATTTGATTTCCAGTTTTAGTTAACAGATGAAGATTCACACGTTGAAGATTGCGTTCAGTAATTTCATTACTCACATAGGGACCGGCATTTTTTTTTTATGGTTAATTATGTATATTATTTTTTAAATATGTTTTTAATGTACAATAATTTGAGGTAGACATTATATAACTCTAGATTTATTTCAATTAAATAGTAATGATTATTATTATTTTTCATTTGTTAAAATATGGGTACAATAAATTTGTAGCTATTACAGAATAAGCGGTAGATTAAAAAAAAATTGTTGACTATACAAAAGTGCTTAAATTAAGTTTATTTGAATAAATGATTTTCTATTCTGTTCTATTCTATAAAAATAGGTGTCAACATATTCTACTATTTCCAGCGTACATATTTCAAAATCCATTAGGTAATAGAAGCATTAAAAGAAAATGAAAAATACTGCAAAATGCTTGGAAGCAAACTAGAACTTAGCAAAATCGTCTATGGCACTTTGTCCCCAGTTATCTTTGACAGTCATTATACCACAGATAATATAATACTAACCTTTGTGTGGACGGGCGTGTACTGCCACCACAAAAGCCTGCATAAAACAAAAAAAAATTCAATTATTGATTAATTACAATAAATATTACATTGACTAGTCAAAAGAAAATCTTTTTATCGGATTTTTTCAGAAAAATGTAATCATTTTACATTAAAAAGTAAAGAAATTAAAATTGATTTTAGTTTGAAAAAACAATAGAAATTTTTTGTAATATAATAAACGCGAAAGTTTGTGAGTATGGATGGGTAGATGAATGTTCCTTAATCTTCCACGCAAAAACTACTGAAGGGATTGTGATGAAGCATATTTACAGTTTAGTTACAGTAATATAGCTATCAAAATAACACAAATATATAAATTTCGTGCGGGTAAAAACGAGGGCACAGCTAGTTCATTCCATAATCAAAAAAGGACTAATTGAATATCGTACTATGGTCATTTCAAATAGAGCAGAAGTACTAACTTGACTTAAGTTATCGTTTACAAAAGGACTTAAGTACTGTTTCATTGATTTTGGAAATTCTCTAATGACAATATATAAAATGCTGTTATTATGGTTGAATATCTACTGGCTATTTCCAAAGTTAGTTCCAAATTTAAAAATATCAAAAACCAAACTTCTTTTTTGTTTACAAAAGGACCTAAGTACCGCTACGTTACATTGGAAATTCTCTAATGACAATATGTAAAATGATGTTATTATGGTTGAATATTTTCTGCCTATTTCCAAAAGTTAGTTCCAAATTTAAAAAAGATCGAACACTACCTTGTTCTTCGTTTACAGAAGGACATAAGTATCGTTATGTTATATTGAAAATTCTCTAATGACTATATGTAAAATGCTGTTATTATGGTTGAACGTTTTCTACCTATATTTTCAAAATTAATAAGGATATGTTAAATTATATGTTATTCTGGTTTATGTAAAATGCTGTTATTATGGTTGAATATTTTCTGTCTATTTCCAAAAGTTAGTTCCAAATTTAAAAAAGATCGAATCCTGACTTATGTCATTATTTACAAAAGGACATAAGTACCTTTACGTTACATTGGAAATTCTCTAATGACAATATGTAAAATGGTGTTATTATTGTTGAAAGTTATTCTGCTATTTCTAAAGTTAGTTCCAAATTTAAAAAGATCGAATCCTGACTTATTCTTCGTTTACAGAAGGACATAAGTACTGTTACACGACATTGGAAATTCTCTAAGGCAATTTATAAAATCAGTATATATTGTCCAAATTTAAAAAAGACAGATCCCTGACATTTTCCTTTACAAAAGGTCATAAGTACCGTTTATTTACATTGGAAAATCTCTAATAACAATAGGTAAAATGCTGTTATTATGATTAAATGTTTTCTACGTATATTTTCAAAATTAATAAGGATGAAACTCCGACTTATTTAATCGATTACAGAAGGACATAAGCACCGTTACGTTACATTGGAAATTCGCTAACAACTATATGTAAAATACTGCCTTTACGGTTGAATGTTAATCCGGAAATTTTTCCGGATATGTGAAATCAATACTTACCGCTAAAGCCACAAGCAATACGGTGAACCTCATCTTGCAACTTCGAAATAATGTTGTCGGAAGGCCATTTTTATATGAATTCGTTACAAAGAAATAAAAGCTGTATACACATATATGAACGTCACATTTCTACGGTTAATTTGTTCTTTAATTATCATTATTATTGGGTTCCGCATGTAACTATTTACTTTCACAGAGTGTAAAAAGTTGCTTTCGTGGGTAAGAGGACCATACTGAAACCTATAAATAACTCTGTAAATAGTATTTCTAATACGACATCCCAGTCCAGCAATAGTAGCATCAAACTTTTTTTTTTACCCAGGAATACTTAAGTCTAACTTACTCTTGTTTACCCAGCAATACTTAAGTCTAACTTACTTTTGTTTATCCAGGAATACTTAAGTCTAACTTACTTTTGTTTACCCAGAAATACTTAAGTCTGACTTATTGTTTTTTAGCCAGGAATACTTAAGTCTGACTTACTTTTGTTTACCCAGGAATACTTAAGTCTAACTTACATTTATTTACCCGGAAATACTTAAGTCTAACCTACTCTTGTTTACCCAGGAATACTTACGTCTGACTTACTTTTGTTTACCCAGGAATACTTAACTCTAACTTACTTTTGTTTACCCAGGAATACTTAACTCTAACTTACTTTTGTTTATCCAGGAATACTTAAGTCTGACTTATTGTTTTTTAGCCAGGAATACTTAAGTCTGACTTACTTTTGTTTACCCAGAAATACTTAACTCTAACTTACTTTTGTTTACCCAGGAATACTTAAGTCTAACTTACATTTATTTACCCGGAAATACTTAAGTCTAACTTACTCTTGTTTACCCAGGAATACTTAAGTCTGACTTACTTTTGTTTACCCAGGAATACTTAACTCTAACTTACTTTTGTTTACCCAGGAATACTTAAGTCTAACTTATTGTTTTTTTACCCAAGAATATACTTAACTTTAACTTATTTTTGTTTACACAGCGCAATCTAGTCCTACTCCCAGGGGATTGTTAGTAGTGTGGACTCATAACCCCATTGCTAGCAATGTACCATGTCAGGTTGACCTCCACGCGGTTCCCCCTGATAAATTCCTGGTGAATTTGTCACGATGTGCTAACTGACCTGACCTTATGTTCATCCTATCATCCTCCACTGGTGCTCCGCCAGCGTAAACCGTTAGCGCAGGCGGGTGCACCATTCTCTCGTTTATTTCTTCTTTTTTACCGTGGATAATTAATACAGCGCCATCTAGTCCCAAACCAAGCCGAGCTTGTGTTATTGTTTCGTAGACTGTGAAAATCATATGTTTACGTACCTCAGTCTCAACTATTTGATTTTTTTTACCAAGGACAATTAACACAGCGCCATCTAGTCCCAAACCAAGCAGAGCTTGTGAGCTTATGAGTATTATACAATTGATAGGTACATAATATACGTAGAAAACAACAACACCGATACAAACAATCATACAGAAATACAAATGTTTGAGGAATGGAACCTGTGACTATGAATGAATGAATGAATTTATTTTCCCGCGCAAAACGTAATGTGTCACAGATTCACAATTTTGCGCAGCCGCAGTAGAAGCACGAGCGCATCATAGCTGTATAGCGATGTTCTGTAAGTACTACAAATATCCAGAAAAAAAAAAGTATGAGTTTTAAATTAACACTCGCTAAATATCCTGTTCATATAATGTACTAGCTACTTGCCCCGGCTTTGCACGGATGTACATGTATTATATATAAATCTTCCTCTTGAATAACTCTATCTATTAAAAAAAACCGCTTCAAAATCTGTTGCGTATTTTTAAAGATTTAAGTATACATAGGGACAGACAGCGACAGCGACTTTATTTTATATTATGTAATAATGATGATACGGTTATATACAACTAATAACAATAAAAAATAGTAAAACAATATAAAAAAAAAATGTCAATGTTTATGGTTAAAAATTTTAAAAACAGTATCTCGAAATAGGTCAATGTTAACGGAAAAAATAAATCTAATTCAATAATTAGTAAACTGGACTATTGTTAAATAACAACTGAGTCAACAATTGAAACTATTTTTTATAGATACACGAAATATATGTTTTTTATATTCAGCACATTATGTTTTTTATTATACTCGTACCTATTTCAATGCTAGCTGACCCCACGAACTCTGTTCTGTCTCAAATATAATATGTCAAAGAAATAGAAATAGAAATAATCTTTATTCAAATAAACTCATTACAACCATTTTTGAATAGTCATATTTTGATTCTACCACTCATTCGGAATGCAGATTCATCACAAGAAGAATGAGAAAGAAACTTGTGTGTTGCTCTTTTTAATATGTTTTTTTATTATATAAATAATTACAGTATAACAAGTAAGAGGCATGCGATAATCAACATAGAAGTCGCTACGCACTCATTATTAATGTAATCAGATAATACTGTCAGTGCTATAGATTTAAAATTTTTCTATAAAAACATTATTATCGTTAACGAATTCTTCAATTTTACAGTAAGCATTTTTGCAAAGGAACTGTTTTATTTGACATTTAAATATTTTTTCTGGCAGATTTATAACAGACTCTGGTATTTTATTGTAAAACCTTACGCAATTGCCATAAAACGAATTACTAACTTTAGCCAAACGACATTTAGGTAAAATCAGTTTGTTATTGTTACGTAAGCTTTTATTAGTGCAATCACTAACTCTTTTGAAACTGTCTATATTCCTTATGGCATAGATGATATTTTCATAAATGTATTGGGAAGCAAAGGTTTTTTGAAGTTGTCTATTGCGTAACTAACTCAATAGATTTCTGAACTATTCGACAGACGAAGTGTTGTATCTATTGAAACTATGATATACGAACATACAGCTGATACCAAGCTTTTGAAGTGTCCGGAATATGACCGACAGCTCCATACCCACTTTGTGCAACGCGATCACTGCAATCCTATTTTCTTTCATGCACTGAATTTTCATTTAATGTTAGACATAGACACCTATATAAATACACATTGTAAATAAACTGGCTTTAAAAAAAAAGTAATTCAATTGAGTTTCTTGCCAGTTCTTCTCGATTGGATCTATATACCAAACTGGACGGTAGGGAAAAAAATAAAATTAGAATGTAAAAATTTGACGTTCATAAGCGGCTAAAATGTCCTACATGAATAAATGATTTTTGAATTTGAATTTGAATTTAATTTGAATTTAATGTTGTAATTTTATAATCAACACGAAAAAATATGTTAAATGGCGCAAAGTCGAAACATTAATTTCATTCATAATATAAATTCATAATTTGTCGGTGGAGCTCTTGCCACTTTCCGCGATCTTCCATCATGCTCAAATCGAAAGTTTTTAAAATAATATACGTGTTCCAAATTCAAAAATAATTAAAAAGTTGAAAAAAATAGTTTTTTTAGTAACAATATTTTATGGCCAGACTATTTATGAAAAAATATATATGTATGGAGCCGTTCAAGATATTGCGTAAGCAGATTATACAATTATTTACCCCCCCCCCCCCTCCTCCACCTCCCCACATCCCCCCCTAATTTCTATATTCAAATACAAATGTTTGGATTATACTCTAGTATGCTATACCGGTAGAACATAATGGTTGTCATATATATATATTTATTTATTTATTAAAACTTTAATGCACATAATTGAAAGTACATATGGCGTACTTAACACCATGCGGCATTATCTACCAGTCAACCATGGGTGGTGCAGAGAATAATTGTTGATGGTGCAAATATAAAAAATATATTAAACGATACACATAAAAATATATATGAATAAAAAACTACATATATATATATACATACATAAACCATACATAAATACATATTTAATAATCTGACAATGAAATATCATGTACTGCCACAATAATGGAAATAAAAAAAAACGTATACGTAAAAATAAAAAACAGGACATAGAAAAGGTTACAAGTATATATAATGTTCCCGTAATTTACGTTTGAAAGAAAATCTACTCGTGGCTGTTTTGATATGAAGGAGTAATTCCAAAGTTTGATTGCCTGAATGGCGAAAGAATAATGGACGAAACTAGACAAATGAGAGAGGATATGAAGTAATTGTGATGACAGGAGCGGTGGTGAGAGTAAACACACACAGTAGGGTGTGTTGTATATTAACTGTTACATCTTGAATTACTCTAGCTTACACTAATTACATAAACTATATATATGAGGTACCGCGTGACCTACGTGTCGTTATACAAAATGTACACTCGCACAATCTTTTACTGAACGTGCTGATTTGCATCACTATACCACATAATAATTTCCTAGTAGTGCGAAGAGAGCGAATGGTGTTGTCCCCATGGAAATGAAATTTGCTGCTAATATATTCAGGATAGTTTAGATCGTACAGAATAGAATAGAGAGTGCATAAAATACGGACATTTCTACGATAACGGATAGGCAGCCATTTAAACTGTGAACGAAGAGGAGATATGATCGAACTTACGTAAATTAAAAATGAAGCGGATAGAATTATATGTACCATTGATTCCTATATATATATATATATATATATATATTTATATTGTGCTCGCAATTCTTTTTATGCGTTATCATTTATATTTAAACAACTCTATTACGTTTTTTTCCGTCGTGTCTTTTGTTTTAAATATAAACAGTCAAGTGTGAGTGGTGTAACGTTTCGTATGTTCTGTAGATATATTTTAAGTACTGACTAAGTTATACAGTGTTGCAAAATGGATGATAAACTAAAAATTCTTTGATATATAGATTTTGTAATAAAGATTTTTTATTATAGAACTATATCGTAGCGTCTTTTGTAACTAAGTATACCTGAATAAGTTATATAATGTCGAAAACAAAATTAAAAATAAACTCGAAATTCTTTTATATGTAGATTTTTACAAAAGATTTTTCCTATAGAATTTAGAATATTAGAATTTTGGCCACTGCAAAACATATTTCGTAGCGTGTCGATTGTTCCGTGGACATTCAAGTACTTGAATA